GGTGGCCAAGCTCAAGCAAGCTGCTGCTGGAAATGGGCCTCTCTGCTGCATTTGTTGGGTTCAGACAGGCTGGGCCATGGTGCCTGGTGTCAGGCTTCAGAGCCTGTCTCCCACAGGCTCCGGGCAGGCCATCACGGCAGGGCAGTGTTACAGGGGGGAACCCAGGGCTGTGCATCGTGCTAGTCTCAACGGTTCTCCCCAGCTTTTACATGAGGTCAGGAACTTTGATGCAAAGCTTTCTCACATTGGCAGCTTCCCCACTGCCCCAGGGACAAGGAACTGAAAGTGGCCGTTGAGCTGTCTGCCAGAGCTGGCTCATTTAGAGTACCAGAGAGTAACCGTATGACTGTTTCGGAGATGAGAGCACAGTGTCAACAGCCCCTGGCTCTGAGCCTCCGCCCATGGGGAAGACGACGGCCCCATGAGTGATTAAAGGACATGGCATGAAATGCCACAATGTCTTAGCACTGCAAATGAAGTGGTTGAAAGAGAGCCCATACTCCTTGTACATGACACAGTGTCTCTTACAGGGGCTTTTCAAGCAGTACATGTTCCCCTTGCCCCTCTAAGTGTTGTTTCGGTGGCAGGCCTGGGCCGCAGGGAATTAGCTGGGACTGCCGGGGGACATCGGCTGGGTCTCAGTTGCGCTCTCTTCTCCCCAGTGCATCCACCGTGACTTAGCAGCCAGGAATGTGCTCGTATCAGATGGACGGGTAGCCAAGATTTGTGACTTCGGCCTGGCCCGTGATATCATGAATGACTCTAACTATGTTGTAAAAGGCAACGTAAGTAATTAAAATGGGGACAAGAGAAGGTACAAGGGTAGGGCGTGGCTGGAGCACAGAGGACAGGGTGTAGCATAAGCTGCCAGCTTGTCCCAGTCTGCAGGACTCTTTGCTCTTCCAGGCCCGACTGCCCGTGAAATGGATGGCCCCAGAGAGCATCTTTGACTGCATCTACACAGTGCAGAGCGATGTGTGGTCTTACGGCATCCTTCTCTGGGAGATCTTCTCCCTTGGTAAGAAAGAAGCGAGCTTGTAAAGCTCGTTTTCCATGGCTTGCCACAGTCCTAATGTCACTGCAGAAAAGTTTCCAAGAAAGGAGGAAGGTTGACAAAAATCTAGGTTTTATCAGGGCTGTAAAACACTGTTACGCTTCCAGAGGGACCATTAAAAACAATGGATCCTGGATGATTTGCTCTGAACTCCGAACTCCCTGAGAACGAGTAGCTGGGGCGATGCTCCAGGCTGCCTCTTCTCACCCCACAAGGCTGGAGTGTTAAAGCCTCTGATCTAAGAGCCACCTCTGTTACTGCCACAGGTAAAAGTCCGTATCCCGGCATGGTGGTGAACAGCAAGTTCTACAGCATGGTGAAGCAGGGATACCAGATGGCCAGGCCCGACTTCGCTCCCTTGGAAATGTGAGTGGATACGCTGAGGTGCACACAACGGGTTACAGGGTGGCTGGAGCCGCTTCATGGGGGCAGGCGGGGACATGGCACAGGGACCTTGGTCACAGGTCTGCCTGCTGCTCCCAGCTGTGTCTGCCCTTGCAGTTCAGGTTGGATCCTACCAGGCTGCTCCTTGCTCCTGTAGGAAAGCAGCACCTGGGGGAGTCAGTTATGATGCTCCACCCGTATTTCCTCTGTTTATGTACAGGAAGGTGGGAGAGCTCATGTTATATGCCTACATTCCTGAACTTGGTGGATTTTTCTTTTTTCAGTCAGCTACTTTTGACCCTAGGACTGTGAGAAGACAGGCCCGAGTAGATTACAGGAGGGGAATGAGTTTTAGCTTAAAGAAAAAAGTACTGGAGGCATAAAGCCCCTTGTTGATGGATTAGAGAACTTTGCTCTATCCACTTCTATGCTTGCCTTTCCCTGGAGCACTGCACGTGCACTGACCACGGGTTTTATAGACAGGAAGACAAGGGACTGCTCAGTACTGTGTGCCTGAAATAAAAAGTGCTGCAGGAAAGAGCCCGGGGGTGCAGACCCTGCAGCAGCTTTGCAGCAGCAGAGTGCAACCACCCTGTCCCTGTTTGGCTCCGCAGGTACAGCATCATGCAGGCATGCTGGAGCCTGGAGCCCACGCAGAGACCTACCTTCGACCAGATCGGCTGCTTCATTCAGAAAGAACTGGAGGTGCATAAGGAACAGGTGAGGACCTTTGGAGGGGAGAAGGGGGGAGACATGCTTTCCCCCTACGTGAACGTAGCTCCTGGACGACTTTCCTTACCTTTAACTGATGGGAGCAGCTTAGTGTTGGTGGAAAGTGCAGAGCGGCATCTAGATTTCCCCATGCTGAAGGGTTAAGTCGCTCCCCACCGTGATCAAAGGAGGCTGGACAAAGAAATACAGCTGCTTTGCAGCAACTGTTATGGGCAGCAATATGACTACCGGTGCAGCAGCCCTGCCCCATTCCCCTGCATTTGGTGTGCAGCTGGACGAAAGGCGCGCTGCCTCCTGACTAGCTGTCCTGCAGCTCCACAAAAGCATGGGCATGCCTGTCCTGCAGCTATGCCCTGCAGGCACAGCAAAGGGTAATGCTGAGTTAGCATCCCCAGCTGGTCATCCGTGCAGAAACAGATGTCGTACACCGTTATCATAGAATGGTTTGGGTTGGAAGGGACCCTTAAAGGTCATCTAGTCCAACCCCCTGCCATTGAAGGGACTGAAACACACTTGGGGTGGGTGGGGTTTTTTGCTTTCAAGGACTACACCAACCTCCCCTCCACTGCTGAGGAAGACAGTGGCTGTGATACCTCTGGCTGCTGTGAGGAGTCCTGCGAGCAAGAGGAGAGCGGCCAGCCCCTCCTCAAGAGCAACAACTATCAGTTCTGTTAGCTGGTACCATCGCCCCCGGGGTAGATCCCTGTCCTCCCAGCTCTGCAGAGCGCACGGTTCTGCTCTGCCCTAGGACACAGATTCCTTCTGCTTTGGCTCTCCTCTCCGTGCTTTCTGAAGTATGAGTGTTACTGACTCCCTCACTGAAAGGATAGCGCTGGAGCGACTCAAAACCAAGACTCACCATGGGGTCCCTAAGGTCTTATCTCAAGCATAGCACAGAGTTGTTAGGATGATAACACGCTCCATCGCTACAAGGTACAGAGCGGTCCCTGTCACCTGCCTCCCCACCCCCCGGAGGAGGCTGTGGGGTGTTTGTTTTTTGTAGTTTGTTTTTAAAATACCAGTTGCAGCCAAGTGAGACACTTCCAAAAGTCACTCACGTGAGTGAACCCTTGTGTCTTATGAGCACATCTTGAACTAAGTCCCAAAGCTGGACCCGCTCCACACACCAGAAGCAGCCCTCTTTCTTGGTGGTCCTGCTCGCTCTCTTCCCTTTGTCAGTCTGACCCTGGATGTTGCAGAGCGAGTGTTTAGATATAGGTAAAGCCTCTACTTAGCATTAAATATGCATTAACCTCTACATTTCCTCATGCAATCTACCTCTCTGCAGCTGGTGCTTCTGCAGGGAGCGTTTGGGAGACAACCCCAGGGTTATGTGAACTTGTGCCCCAGTAACAGGACAGAGGGGCGGTTATTTCTCAGGTAAAATACAGAAGTAACCAGTGCTCTTCCACGTGAGCACCGAACACAATCCCAATCCAGGAAAGAACGGCAGCTTAAACACATCTGGAAATGATCAACATAACACATATCCTACAAAACCTCTGAGCTGTTAAACATGTAGCAATCACTGCCTTTGTCACAATTATGCTCTTGTACATATTTTCCTGAGTGTATTTTGAATAGTACAGCTGAGGTAATTTTTTTCATAAGCTAGGGCCTAATGCCCTTAAACTTATTTCTCATCTAGCTCTTGTTCAGTGTAAAAATGCCACAGCCACCTGGTCCTGTGTAGCCATCAGAAGTAGCTAAAGAACCTTCTTAGCTTCACCTGACTCGGCGGGTAAAGGATCAGTATTCCAGATACAAGCACTGACAGGGCTCAGGCAAACTACAGCCAGACAGAACGACTGTATGGCAGGTGGCCTTTGTCATACTGCGAGCAATTACATTGTGGCCACTTCTGATTATATTAAACCTGGTTTTATGCTAACACCAAGTGATTCATTCCTCCTTACTAAATAAAAAGCTAATGTATTTCTATCTGTCAGCATTACAAAGAATAAAATAAGATGTTTAACAAAACAAGTCTCTTCCGGGGCTTTAAGGACTGTTCTCAGGGGAACGGATCAGAGCACGGGTGATGCACTGGCCCATCCCCTCACACCCTGCAACTCTGCTCCAATTCCTGACACACTTCTCATTGCCAGTTCTCAAAACCATTCACTCTTGTGTAATGCAAAAACTTCTTATTAAAAGCAAGGTTTTAAAGCACTTTGCTCTGGCTGGCTTGTCTACAGTTGTGAAAAATGAAGTAGTCCCTGTGCATGGGTATAATGGGGGAGTAATTTCAGTCGAGATGATGGGACGTCTGACAACGGTCACTGTGTTCGAGACGGGCACGCGGCAGCAGCCTGCGTGGCAAAGGCAGTGCAACGCTGAGGGCGGGGCAGAGGCAGAAGGGCCCTGGTGACCAGCGACCCAACCTTACTGCAGCAGAACCTCCTGTAGCAGTGGCTTAGACGCAGCAGGATCTCCAGCCCAGGCTGTTAAACGCATCCTGAAGAGAAGTTACTGTCACCTGCTGCAGACTCTCTCCTATGAAAGTCACCTCAGGAGCTGCCCTGTGCAGGGAACTGCAGAACAAGAGCAGGTAGACCAGGGGAATCGACCATCTGCAGAAGCTACTTTCTTGCCACTTAGAAGAACCATACCTTAGCTATATTTAGCGGGACAATTTTATTCGACACTCTGGTGAGGTGGCCCAAGCAATGTCTTGAGGTGGTCCTCTCAGAACACCTTGCTTCTGAGAATACCAGGCTTTTCCCCACCACCATGGCAGTGCAGACTGGAAGCATGGGGTACGTGCACACAGTGTTTGTGCCCTTTCCCGCTGCGGTCCTCCAGGTCTTGTACACAAAAAACAAGTCACTTGGCCACAGTTTCACCCCAAAAATTGGAGATAATTTATTAAACTTTATCACTGACTGAAAAAAGTCACTAATGTCTCTTATAATAAGTTAATGTTCTTAACAGAAAAACCCCAAGCCATCATTACTGCATTTGCTCAGACTTAATACATTTACTTTAACAGTACGGTACTCAATAGGTTCCCCTTCACAGAAGGGAGTTTTCAACCACACCGCAAGCTTCTGAATCTTCCCCGCTGCTCGCTCGGACAAAGTAAACTCCCTGGATGGCCACTTAGCAGTCTAGCATCCCGCTGCTCTCCTCTGCGGCTCACAGCAAACACCCATCCACCTTCACTTTCATCACCAGCAATAGCAAAGGGAGCCGGCAGCAGGCGACGCACGTAGCTTTACAACCGTAGCCCAAGGTGTTCTTCGGACGCGCTGTAGGGACAGGGAGGTCCCAGCCCAACTCCTCTCAAGGAGCTGATAAAGCACCCTGGGCAGCATGAGACTTCTCTAACCCACACAGCGCTGTGCGGACACGGGCAGGGCAAAAACGACACCTGACAGAGTGCCGAGATTGCACACGTGGATGCAGCTCTCCCAGCGCCTCCTCTGAGGGCGGAATACCAACCCCTGCTCGCTCTGGTGACACTGCATTCATCGTTTCTCCTTGATCCCACAGACAGTCTTTGTGATCCTGTTCTAAGGGCAGGACAACAGAAATGCAAGTCCTTGAACAGAATAGAACTGCTAAAAAAACAAAAAAGCGTTCAAGGGACGACACAGAAATTTTGAGTGTCCTTCCCCTTTCCACAGTCACCACCTTACACAGCGCTCACACAGCCCTCCAACGAGCTTGGTTCCCCTGGGGCTCACCCGGTCAAGTCTTACCTTAACATACAGAACACTTTTCACTCACTGTATGTTTCAGCTTCTAAGTTATTAGTGCTCATGCGAAGGGACAAACAATTCTAGAAACTTTCTGCAGCCGAAGCACCCACAATCCTGGACCCAGGAGCGCAGCCTCCAGGGGGGCTCCCCAGATACGGCGCGTTAAAGCTACATGGCTCCTCCGCCTCCTTGACTAAAGACTCCTCGCAGCCAATGCATATGAGAGCTCTGCAAGATTTCCAAGCAGGCATCAGTGTCCTAAACTAATCTATTCAGAACGTTTTGGGGGAAACCATCTTAGCTGTCTGCCTTTCATGCCTGCTCCCTCACCCCCAGCCCTGCAACCAATACGCACAAAGAAGTCAGCAAGCAAGATTCAGAATTAAAACACCTGCGCGCTTGACCATGCATACTCCCCGCTACCAGAAATGCCTCTCCCTTCTCCACTCGCCAGCTGCAGGGAGGGCAACATTTCACACCACTGAACAGTGGGTCCATCGCACACCTCGGGAGGCAGGTGCAGCCTTCAGCAAGGGGGGTGACAGACCCACGCTCACAGCAGCTATCATGACACTATGGAAGCACACAGCTCTTTGGTCATTAACAGCAGTCAAAGCCACCGGCATCACATCTCCAACCTGTAAAAATAAACTCTCAAGCCAGACAGCTGCCCAAGCCTTGAAGAAACTGGCTCAGCCCACCCATCCACACGACCAGAGAAAGAAACCAACACGCTGTTTTGTTACTCAGCAACCTCTATCATCCTCCTGCTTCCCCTCTTCATCCTCTTCTGTTTCTGTTTTAATCTGGGCCACTCCGAGCCGGTAGAGAGCATCGCGAATTACCACCTCCCCAGGCTGGCAGCTCTGTACGATCTCCTGGATCTGCCGATTCACAATTTCCCTGCTGGTGAGAAAGTCCATGAGGCGGTTGTAGAGGTAATAGTGCGTGGCGTTCTCGAAGGTGATGGGCCTTTGGCGGATGTTGCTAGTTTTGCTGTCGTTGATAGCAGCGATGATGGCGCTGTAAGGCTCCAGCTCTCGGCACAGGGAGATGCAGTGATGCCGAGCCGTTGGATCTTGGTGGTTGTTCTGCTCCGAACCCGTGTGAACGATTCGGCGTGCCGACGACTTGGTGATTGGGTGCTGAACAGAGTGCTCAGCCACGGTCATGTCTACGCTGTAGTGCTGGTCTAGCAGTTCAGGGCAGGACACATACTGGGAGAGAGGGAGAGAGGCACCAGGTAGAACAAGAAGCAACTTCCCCACAGCTAAGAAGAACAAGTCGAAACTACTGTTTGGCTGAACTCCAACCAGCATTACGACCCAGGGCGGAGGGAGGGCTAACTGATTCAGGCTTCCCCTAAATGCCACAAAGGTGGTTCTGTGCACTCCCTCCGCACTCGTATGCCCTCAGAGACAATCCCAAGGCACTAGCAACCCTCTTCCTCTTCCATTTCTCAAGTAATAGCAGTAGTTTGCGAGAAGTGAGTTGCTGTGTCAAAATAAGCAACATGCTCCAAAGTTCATGATTTGAACTGTTACAATGCACTTCCAGCACAGCTCTTCCTGTTAAGGAGCACGAACCTAATACAATGCCTCAAGCAACACGTAACACCTTCCGCTATGCTCAGAAGCTATGCACTGGCAAAGCTGTGAGTCGGGAGACACTTATCAGGTCAAATTATCTTGAGGCACAATGCAGGTTACACATACTTTTGTTAAATTTTGTTTTTTATTATTATTATTTTAAACCTCACTTGAAACTTCTCCATATTGGACTGGCATAGCAGAGTGCAAAAGGTGGACATAACTAACCGTTGGAGGATCCATGGGGTCAGAGAAGCAGCCCTGGTTTTTCCCCCACATCTGGGAAGTCAGGCCAGGACAGCAGATGTCTGCGCACAGTGCCACTGAAGAGGCTGTATCAACGACATACACTGGAGGCCAGTGACGTGAGGAAACCAACAAGTCCACATGATCCCGGGCATTTTCTCCTCTTACTATGTACTTTGAGCCACACACAACCTGGAAAGAAAAGGATTAATACCAAACAGCACAATAAAATTGAAAACTTCAAAAAAAATATACAGTCTTAAAAAAATTAAGCTTTCTTTCAGGTATTCCAGACAATACAGTAACCAGACAGTTACTTTCTCTAAAGATATTCCGTTTCCTCCTCATACACATTCACTCTATCTCGTTCAGGAAGAGGTGATTTTCAACTCCACCTCAGCAGCAACATCAAAACCAGGCTTCAGATCACTAGCTGATCTTGAAATCTCCTGCAGGACTGCTCATACTCCAAGCCCCCAAGGCAGCTTGTTTCATTCCCAAGGCTCAGAGAGGCCCATTTCATTGCTTCTATTTAACGAGGGAGTTCCACACTGGTAAGGCAGATAATAGTGAATAACAAGGTAAGAAAAAACATCGCTGACTCCAGCCTTCCTTACCTGATGTGGACACACTTTGTAGATTTTCCCTCCTGTGTGATGAGCAGAGGCTTGTGTGATGCTTGTCCCATTCTGTACAAACTCATAGAGAGCCAGGAGGGAGTAGCAGAGCTGGTCCTAGAAAAGACAGGTCCCAGAGAAAGTCTGTTTGTGGCTAAAATTAATGGACTCCTCCAGAGAGGGAGAAGGCTGCAGGCAAGGTCTCCCAAATCCTAATTTGCACTTCATCCAATAA